CCAGTACCAGGCTGTTTTGACTACTGTAGCTGTATAGTAGGTTCTGAAGTCAGGTAGTGTGAGTCCTCCAACTTTATTCTTCTTCTTCAGTAGTGCTTTTTACTTATTCGATACCCAACTATTTTTTATGAAATAATAAAACCTTATGTGTTTAATGTGAAATTTCTGTTGGGTGCAGCAAACCCGATTCTAACTAATAAAATGCCAAAATATCACTTTAGCAAAATAGCAAAACATGGGGCCATTTTGATATCTCATCTTAGCAAACACTCTATAAAGAAGATATATTTATTCATAATCTCTACTGCTTTTTTTCAAGCGAGGCTAATTCTTCCCCTTAGTCTATCCAATCGAAATAGTATCACACAGTGAGTCTTCTTGATTAACATGGTTTTGGGAAACAATTCTCCCTGCCCTTTCCAAGATGTCACCATTCTTTTTTACAAACTGAAAGCAACACTGACCCTTTGCATTTAAACGCTGCAGCAAGTCCTGTAAAATCCACTCCAGCTGGCCTCTAGTTATCTCTTACTTAACCTTTGCCAGCAATTTTCCAGATGTTCTCAGCTTGCATTTTTTCTGAGTTGAGTTACAAGAATATCACAAACGATCTACTGTAGAATATCCTATTTTTAAAACTCAGAAGGCGATATCATGCAATAAAAAAAGTCATTGAAATGCCCTAATCGAAAGCCCTAGGCCAATGGGTATTAGTCACACAGGCCTTGTGCTTCTATTCCTTTTCATTCCTTCTGACGTGATTTCATCAATAAATCAATAAATATATTGTCTGTTCTGACTGATTTTACTGGAAAGTTCTTTTGGAGAGATTCTGAGGAGGAGTGAACATGCTGGTATTCCCATTTCTAGCTGCAGCTCCACAGCCAAGACAACATATGAGTAGAATTCAAATTAGAAAATATAATAATGTGTATAACAGATACAAACTGTTGTTTTAGCTTGAATTACTTAGTAATATTTTGTTAATATAGCTTTATGGTCCATGTACTAATCCTATAACCATGTTATTGAAAACACTATGTTAAGCATTTCTGCACCGAAATAACAATTGATAAAATGATTATTTTCTCCATAAATTCTAAATGAAAAGATCATAGCCACTAATGACAATTAAGGCTCTCTTCAAGACACCAAGCAATCACTGCACAGTATGATTTACACACAGCCAGGTGGGGTTATTACATTATCTACAGTTAATAAATCTTTACAAAATGCCCTATTTGGTCTATATATTATATCCATTACTTTCTCTACATGGAAAAAGTGAAATGAATGAGAATCAAAGAATGTGAGAGCTACAAAGATCCTTACAGATTTTCAAGTTCAAGGGCCCATTTTAGAGTAAGAGAAACAAAACCCAGAGAGTTTCAGCAGCCCATTCAGGTAAAACAGTTGATAAACAGCACAGTTAGAATCAGATAAAAATCTAGTCAACCAATTCTCAGTTCACCGTTCTTTCCATGACAACATTGAGCTATTATTTATGTATATGCTAATTAATGTAATTTTTTTATACAGTAGCTATGAGCTATTATAACACTTGTTTATAGTATTTTCTCAGTTTATATTTTATTGCATATCACCCTAAAATTAGAAAGTTAGTATTCCGTGACAAGTCCAAGCTTGCTTAAAGAAAGATAGGACTGGACGTGTCACGGACTGAGCCCCACTTATTTATCTCTGCTGCCCTGTGTGGTGTTATCAAAGCCTGCAATATATTCCAAAAGAGCCAAGGTACCTGGCCAATTGCACATTTTCTATGCACAGAAACACAGTAACTGACTTGTGTATTATTGAACATGATTTAAAATAATAGTAGTGGTACAATGTTGCCCTTATTTAAAGAAACAACATCTTCTATTTGTCTGTGAAACTTGTGGGTCTATCCCACGGTTTCTCAACCTCGGTGGACAATTCTCCATTGTGGAGGCTGTCCTGTGCATTGCAGGATGTTTAGTAGCATCCCTGGCCTCTACCCACTAGAGGCCTGTAGACCTCTCACCACCCATTCACCCCCACCCCAGGTTGTGACAACCAAAATTGTCTCCAGACATTGCCAAATGTCCCCGGAGGGCGAAATCCACTCCCTTCCCAACACCCCTGGTGAGAACCACTTGTCTAGCCAAACAAAGCATGTTTAGAAATTTTGACTTAAAAAAAAAAGCTCAGTCACTCACCAACAGGGTCCAGGAAATGCCGATCAGATAATGAATTGTATTCCTCTTCTGAGGTCAACACCTTCCCACCAGCTGGAAGGATTCGGCTTTTAGGAGCAGCTCCTTTCTGGTAGGCCTAGGGAGGGAAAGGCATAAACGAATTATTTTTTTCCTCATTTGGCTTTTTCGGAGATATCAGGAATATTAAAAATAGACAGACTCAGACACAAACACCCAAAGATAGTAATCCCCACATTATGTCACTGAGTTAGAACTATTTATTCAGGTATGTTTTGCCTTCCTGCTACTTGCAAGGTAGCCCTTCAGTACTTTTGTGTGAAGGTCACAGTGTGGTAGATCATAGTCCCTAATCTCAGGGGGATTTACTATGGGTATTTTTCTCAAATGGGGAACACATAATTCTAGTAACTTCTAGATATTCCACATGGCACTTAGCATTTCTGACTTTAATGCCTGAATCATTCTGATAATTACCCAAGGGTGATGATGTACGCCACACTTACTACACGGAATGCTTGGTGACTGGTGTGGGCCATGTATGGTGACTCACGAGACTGCAGAACATGTAACTGTGATTATGGTTGCCGTGGATTTTTGTCAAAAACTTAAAAAATGTTGCCATAATAAAATATTGCCACCAGATGTGAGATTGTTTTGCAATAAAATGATCTGGGATGGAGGTGCAATATGGTCACATCAGAACAAATTCTGGCCAGCAGACAAGAAGCTGCATTGTTTGGACAATGTAAGAGGCCCAGTGCATTGCTAAGCAGTCTGTTAAGCAGATATACCAACAAGGACATGGGCAGATAAGATAAAATGCAAGTATGTGCTTCTGATGGGGGCCTTAAGTCAAGGCACAATTTCGAGATTAGCAACCTAAAGGCAGACTGAGAACTGAAACCAAGAAACTGTGGAATACAAAATCTAGAGTGTACTCTTGGAAATAATCAAAATAATGTTGATCGAGGCAATAAAATCAGAACAACAGCAACATATATTCTGCATCAATAAGACAGTAATGGAAACCCAAACAAAACAAACATGTGTATCTAAGAAGCTTATTTTCATACTTATTGTAAGAACCATTAATCCACTGCTTAAGCACATCAGGGATCCAGATTATAATAAAGAAAAACCTAAAGTTGTGTGATTTTAAGAAAGTTTAGAAACAGTTTGCTTCAGACTGACCTCAGATCTGAACCGTATTATGAGTTATAACAGGCCCTAATCTAAGCTTTTATAAACATTGTATTAATCTTCGACAACAATATGAAATAGATATTATCGTCTTCACTTTACAAATGAGAAAAATGAAGCTCAAAGAGGTTAGGTAACTTGCCATTGATTCAGTGGTGAGTAGGCAACATAACCAAGATTCATACCCAGGCTTATCCAGCCCCCATTGGGAGTGTACAGAAAACAGGAAATGATTATCAAATGAGAATGTTTCCCCTTTCCTGCTTTATTACCAGCCAAAATTGGCCTCTCAATAACGTAATAGGTAATTTATAGGTACGCAGTTCGAATCCACCAGCTGCTCCTCGAAAACCCTATGGGGCAATTTTACTCTGTCCTGTAGGGTCTCTATGAGTCAGAATCTACTTGAGGGCAACAGGGTTTTTTTTTTGGGTGGGGGGTGGGGGTGGGGGAGGCTGTGGGCTAAATGCTTTAATCCATTTATTTAATCCTCACAGCTACACCATGATAACGGGATCATGCTCACCATCTTAGGGATGAGAAAACTGAGGCCCAAAGAGATTTCTGACTTTTCCAAAGACACATATCTAGCAACTGGTAAAGCTGTGATTAAAAGCCCATAATAATAACCATTATACAACATTACCACTCCTCAAGCTACCCTGAAAGAATACTGTAAGGTACCATACAGAATATAAGGTGATTTGTTACTATTATTATTCATAGTGTGTTAATAATTTGCTTCTGAATGCAAATCAAGTGTTGAATAAAATCTTAATATAGACAGGCAGAGAAAATACTAGTTTAATGAATATTAAGAAGAATAAGACTACCCAAAATGTTACTTGGGCATTGCCTAGCAGTCTGTGGAACAAGTTTGTACTGCATTTTATTTCTGTTTTCCATGAGAGATGGGAAGGAAAAACGTTGGTGTGTCAGCCTGAGCCACTTCCTAATAGTTTAGCATCAGTGGTACTGTTCAGAGTACTCTGTGAAGGTTGTCCTGACAACTCCTGAACTTGGAATCAAGACAGCAGTTTTAAATCTGACACTACCTTTAACTGATAAATAGTAACTATGGTATTCATTTCAAAGGGAGCACGAGAATCGATGTAGACTAAAAATGTATACAATATATCTGGAAGGAACCGTTGGGATCATCCACACTAACCTCCTGGTTTAACTGAGGCCCAGAGACAATAAGTGACTTGTTCATGAGTTCACTTCTAGCTAGTGGCACAATTTAACCTAAACTTTAGTTTTCCTAATTAACTGTCCAATTTTCTTTCCATTATACCACACTACTTCCCTATATGGCATAAGAAATGAGAACTAATAAAAGCAGAAGTCCTCCCCAGTGCTAGGTACTTTATGTACATTATCTCATTTTCTCCACATTTTTACAGACAAGAAATATGATGAGATAACCAGGAAAAAAATCCATAAGGTGGAAACAACCCACAGGTCAATCAACAGATGAACGAATAAACAAAACGTGATAGATCCGTACAATGGAATATTATTCAGCCTGAAGTCCTGATACATGCTATGACATGTATGAACCTTGAAAACATTATGTTAAGTGAAATAAGTCAGACACAAAAGGACACATATTGTATGACCCCACTTGTATGAAATATCTAGAATAGGCTGATGCACAGAGACAAAAGTTTATCAGTGGTTACCAGGGGCTAGTGGAAGGGAGGAAAGGGAAGTTATTACTTAAGGGGTACTGAGTTTCTGTTAAAGTCAACAAAAAACATTTGAAAATGGAGAGTGATGACGATGGTTGTACAATATGGTGAAAGTGATTAATGTCACTGAAATGTATACTTAAAAATGGTCACAATGGCAAATGTTCTATCATATATATTTTACCACAAGAAAACTTATAAGACAAAATAAAATCCATAAGGGTAAGTGGAATAAAAGTTTGTGAAATGTTCTGATTTTCTAAGAACCCAGGCAGATTCAATCATACCCTTATGAAATAACCCCCCACCTACCTGTCATGTACAAGACTTAAAAGTGTGAAGACATGAGGCCCACAGAGCAGAGAGAGATATCAGGGCAATGACTGAGAAAGACCTCGAGGCTAAACGAATGATCTTTGGAAAGGGTCCCGCCCCAAACACTGGTCACTCAGTACAACCATCCATTTTCACCGTCACTTGCAATTACTTGTTCAAAGTCTATCTTGCCCGCTAGATTGCAAGCATCTGTCTGATCTACTACTATATACCTAGAACTTAGTATAGTAAGTGGCATACAGTAGGTACTCAACAAATATTTGTTAACCAAAATGAGTATCTGAATGAGTGAATACTTTTGAATGAATCAATCAACCCAGCCAGTGTTTAAGAATATGGCAAGAACCATGCTTAGAACCAAGAACCTTGTTTAGAAGCAAGGATGATGAGACTACGTCTTACGTACTTTGGACATGTTATCAGGAGACAGCAGTCCCTGGGAAGCGTCATACTTGGTAAAGTACAGATCATTGCAAAAGAGGAAGACCCTCCAAGAGATGGATTGACACAGTCGTGCAACAATGGGCTCAAGCATAACAATGACTGTGAGCATGGTACAGGACCCGGCAGTGTTTCGTTCTGTGGTATATAGGGTCGCTATGAGTCAGAACCAACTTGACGGCTAACAACAACAACGACATGGTAACAAGGAAATGTCTTACCTCTTTGTTCTCATAGCTCTCCACAGCAAAATCATTTTTAACCACAATGTATCTGTCCTTCCATTTCTTTATGTCTTCAGCAAACTGTGATAGCTCTGCTTCATACAAGACAGTTCCAGGCTCCAATGGTGGCTTAAAAAACAATACTATAATTAACAATCACAACAAAAAAATAACTAAGTCTATCCAGGGAGGCCCTGGGTGACACAACTGGTTGTTGGATTAGGGTTATGCCTTGGACACACTCGGCACTTAATAAGTGCTTGATAAACTGTGGGAGAGAGGAAGTGGAGCAAGAAAGCTCAAGTTGTAGACATCCACCCTTACACCCTGAACGTGCCTCAGTGTTAATTCCTGGAAAAATAGGAGAATTAAGAGGTTATCCTCCTATTCATCACACCTTCAGGTTCAGCCTCAAGAGTCAGTGTTTAATGGTTTTCCCAAATCCAAAAACCACGGGAATCACGCTATAAGTACTTAATCCATCACCATGCTTCTCAAGGGGAACGTGTTATTTGGTTAAAGAGCAAGCTGGCATCAGGCCAGCACACCTCAGTTTTACCTCTTCTATTTAAAAGGTTGAGAATTCTTCATTCACCCTGGTGACATATGTGCTGTAGGACAGTTTCGGTTAGACTCCTAATTATGCCTTCCATTGGGTTAACTGCATAAGGGATAATTCCTACTCTGCCTCATTGTCCACGTCGCACATTGCTTCAAAATATGGGAATAGGCCTCCTGTTTTTTCTTGCTACTGTTACCGAATTTACATCTGTTTTTCTTTTATTAAAAAACCATAGTACTTTTAGAAACTTATTTTTCTACTTTCATGAAAAAATTTTATAAACCATACAGAGAAGACAGATATGCCAATCTCTTTTAAGAACTGTCTAAGGGATGAAATGAATTCCCTTCCAAATTCTAGTGCTTAGTGTTCTGCCATGATGGGCAATGAGAGAGTCTTCTTTTTTGCCTCATTAAAAGGTACGACGGGGCTTCACTCTTCTATTTAAATGAGGCTGAAATCTCATGGTATAAACTGATCTTTATAGTTCCTATGTGGAGCCTTTCTTAAATCTGGGCCACTAAAATCAACTGATAAACACTTGTTAAAAGTGTGCCCTACCCTGGAGCTGACACCCTGAATTTGGACTTTTAGCCTTCTTTGACTGTGAGGAAATAAACTTCTCTTCGTTAAAACCAAAAGAAAAAAAAAAAAAGTGTGCCCTACCTGAGATTTACTATATCCAAATCTGTGGGAATGTGGCCCAGAATTTGCATTTTTAACAGGCTCCCCAATGTTTGAGAACCACTGTTTTATAGGGGTAACAATCAGTTATCCCTACATGCTCAAGCTACTAAATCTTATTCAACCTTTCTGTGGTATTTGACTCACTGATCACTCCCTCCTTCTTGAAATAGCTCCTTATTTGCTTTTGGGCACATTACCCTTTACTAGTTTTTCTCCTACTCTACAAGCTATTCTCAGCCTATCTTGCTGGATACTTCTCTTTCTGATCTCCAAATTGTGGAGGGGCCAGGACTTGTTTGTGGAACTTTTCTTCTCTATTTAAACTCTAGGTTATGTCCTAGGGCTTTAAGTAACAGTTATAAGCTGACAACTCTCAAATTTCTATCTCTAGCCTTGACCTCTCTACGTAGTTCCAGACCAGTTGGCTGCCTATTTCATACTTCCATGGTGTATGTCAAACAAGCATCTCAAACTTAACATGTCCAAAAGTGAACTCATGATTCCTACCCACCCCTAACTCCTCCTTCTGAGTAAAACGCAACTCCATCCACACATTTGCTCAGGCTAACACCCAAGAAGTCATCACTGATTTCTCTCTTCTATTATCTCATTCCCAATTCATCAGCAAGTTCTGTTAGCTCTACCTCAAATACTTCCTGACTTGGACAGCCTCCTGTAACTCCTACCACTATCATCACCCTAGTCCAAAGTAGCATCATCTCTCACCTGGACTGCTACCATATCCTCCTCCCCAGTCTCCTGTTTCTTCTCTTGCCCTTCCCCACAGTCTATTCTCCACAGAGAGGCCAGAAAGGCCATTTACAATTATGTCACTCTGTATTCAATGCCCTCTAATGATTACTTCCCATCACACTGAAAACAAAATCCAAGCCTTCATAGTAGCTCATAGGTCCTACATGATCTGGCCCCTGCCTACCTCTCTGCAGTCATTTCGTATCATTCCCTTGCTCACACTGCTTTCAGCACGCTAGCTTCTAGCCATGCTTCTTATTGCCACAGGGTCTTTGCGTGGCTGTCCGTCTGCCTGGAATATTCTTCCCATACTACTAACATAGCCTGCTCTCTTACTTCACTCCACTTTCTGCAAAAATCATCTCCACAAAAAGGGCTTCCTGATCACCTTATTTAAAATAAGACTCCTGCTTTATTATTTTTTGTAGCATTACCTGATACTATATTATATATTTATTTATTTGTTTATTATCTGTCTCCTACATTTAAACATAAACTCCAGGAAGGCAAACAATTTCGTCGTGTTCCCCTAGTCCTTAGAACACCAAAAAAAAAAAAAAAAAAAAAACCAAACCTGTTGTCATCAAGTCAATTGCAACTCACAGAGACCCTCCCTATAGGACAGAGTAGAACTACCCCATAGGGTTTCCAAAGCTGTAATCTTTAGGGAAGCAGACTGCCATGTCTTTCTCCCATGGAGCTGCTGGTGGGTTCAAACTGCCAACCTTTAGGTTAGCAGCCAAGCATTTAACCACTGTGCCACCAGGCCTCCTTGTCCTTAAAGTAAGGTCTGGCAAATAGTAGGTTCTCAATAAATATGTGCTGAAGTCGTGGATAATGATTATAATGGGGCATAGGAGAAAGAATGAATTTAGGGGATTAGAAGAGAAAATCATATTTAATCAATGACCAAAATGAAAATGTCCCTAGTACAAAGAACTGAAATTATGACCATTATTCCTCTAAACTTCACTACAAGTCAAATTTCCCAATATTAAAGCACCATTGTGAAGAAAACACTTAATAAAATTGGAATCATGACAGTTTTCTTTTTATATGGATTACACTTCAACAAGAAATCATATGTTCTAACTTTCAGGCCAGTAGAGTTTTTTGAATATAACATTATTACAGAGCAGATTTTTTTAAAGCTGCCACTCAAATTATTATTTATTTCAGAAATATTATGAGTTATAAAGCTTTCCTCAGTGGGAGAAATATGTACACCAAATGTCCTCAGGTTACCTTGGTCTTCAAAAATTGTGACTGTAGATCTCTTTGCTGTTCTACGTCACTTCGTACATGATTGCAGAAAGCCACAGAGTACTGGCGACTGTAGTAGGGACTGAAGTTTTTGATAGTAGCCTCAGTTTTCCCTGTGTGGGAGGTGGGGGGCAGAAAGTTAGAATTTTGAAATGTAGCATCTCTTATAACATAGATACACATCTTTTTTATAAACATCACCCTCAGGTCTCCCTAACACCACTATTCCCTAGGGATTTGTTATTAGTCCACATTCCCTGAGAACTAACACATGTTGCACACACCTTTACCTCTCCCTCCCCCCGCCCTTAGCATCATCCTGAGATACTTCAAAGTCCCGAAGCTCCACCCATCCAGTAAACAGTAGTCTTTTTCTTCATTTATATCAACAACCCATTGCCATGACCATAAACTCAACCAACCTTCGAATCCTTCTAAGACTACCACTTTACCTCACCCTCTTCTCCACCTCAATTTGCTCTTCATTCCCTTCTAACTCCAGTCATTCAACTTCCCCCCTTCACAATGATCTCAGGGTGTGCCATTTCAACCCTGTACGCTCATCATTTCATATTCCTTCAGATCCCTGAAAGAATGAATCTTGCCAATTCACAACCCTAGATGAAATCAATACTGTTTCTTTCTAGTTCTGCTTCTGTTTCTGTTTTAAAGAAGGTTTGTGAGTCAAACCATTGCATAACTAGTGTGAAAGGCAAGAGCTCCAGTTTAAGAACCTGGAGACTTGGGTTCTGATTCCAATTCTAGTTGTAAGACAGACACTAGCTATATGACATCAGTCAAGTCACTCATTCTCTCCAGGTTCCAGTGACCCTAACTGTAAAGGAAGGTGCTCATCGGTCCACACCTTTCTTCGAATCTGCTTGACAATGAAGTATAATCACAGAAGTACAGCTACCTCACAATAGTGACCACCAATTGCAATATAGTCTCTTAGCACCAGAAGAAAATAAAGCTGAGTATGTGTGGAGTTCCTGGTTGATGCAAACAGTTAACATGCTCAGTTGCTAATTAAAAGGTCCACGGTTTGAATCTACCCAGAGGTGCTTGGAAGAAAGGCCTGGCAATCTACTTCCAAAAAGTCAGCCATTGAAAACCCTATGAGCACAATTCTACTCTGACACACATAGGGTCACAATGTGTTGGAATCAACTTGAAGGCACTTGGTGGTGGCAGTGGATCAACCATGTGGAGAGAGCTTGAGGATTGGAGCAATAGGCACTGGAAATATTCTTGAGCTTCTCCAATCAGTGCTTACTTTGGAGAGTGAGAGAGTTGCAAAGGAAAGAAAGGAGAAGGAGAAATAGGGGAGAAAGGGCAAACGAGCATTCTGAAGCAGATCTGAAATCCTCATTGCATTTGAAGTACTTTCTGTAGAGCATAGAAATAAATAGTTTCCACTGGCTGCTTACAAGCTGTTAGTCCTCAGAATAAGACATTAGCTTGAAGAAAAATAAACCTGCTATTACATTCCAAAATATTAAAATACTTTCATGTGTACTAGGCATAATTTTTGTTTTTCAAATTTGGTATTATAGTCAACAGAGAAATATTAAAATACAACATACTGGCAAGATTTGTTTAGAGCTATTATGCATGTAGAATTTCAAAAATAACTGAAGAGTTTTAATTATATAGCTTGAGACACTCAATACATGAACTATGAATCCACAGCTGCCAGCTTCTAGGCCTATGGATTCATAGCCAAAAACTCCCATAGTGTAAAAATACTCTATATGGGATTTCTACTTTTGCTCGAGTATTTAGGTCTCATGATATGCATGAGGTAAAAAGGAATTCTTGGTTATTCCCTCAGTAAAATGCCATTTACTGGTTGTATTTATGGGCTTTAAAAATTATAACTTGTAAGGCACTTTGAGACCCACTAATAACAGGTTCTGTAGAAATGCATATGGAAGTTCCTATAATTTGAATCAGGCATGCTTTTACTTGCTTGTGAGTTTATGATATTACTATTAATCAGTATTTGTATAATACTTTAATATATTCAGGCTTTACAACCATCTAATTGGTTATTATTTTTACTAGCTTTTATATAATGCATAAGTAGTAAAATTCTATATCCTTGTTTATAATTTTCTTACATAAAAGTAGAACATCTTTGAAAATTCCCACAATGAAAATGAGTCTCACCTCATTGAAACACATAAATGGTTAACAAAATTTGCCCTTTAGAGCCAAGTAAACACTGTTTCGTCCATAAAAAGAGTAACCTGTTAATTTCTGATGCTAATTTTTGCACTCTTACAAACACTTGGATTGAAATGAAAGGAGTTGCATATCCTTTTATCATGAGCTCTACAAACCTTTGAAACAAGATTTCCTGCCACATCACCAAGCCTCCTCCAGAACACCCTGCTTCTACTGAGGTGCTAGGATGTCACTACTCCCCCCCAAGGATGAGAAATATGCTTCTGTAATTTGAATATCTGCATATGGTACCATCAGTACATCATCCACCAGGCAGTAGTTACAAAAGAAGAGATCACAGCTTTCTTGGGTAACTAACCCAACGATCAGGTCGAATATGAATAAAATAGCCAATAACATTATTAGCTCTTTAGGAAAATAACCCAAAGCTATTCTCAAAAGGCATCTGGATTTCATCTTAAGGAGCCCTGGTGGCACAGTGGCTAAGCTAACCTAAAGGTTGGCAGTTTGAAACTACCAGCCATTCTGCAGAAGAAAGATGTGGCAATCTGCTTTCCTAAAGATTAGTTTTGGAAACCCTATGGGGTAGTTCTAGTCTGTCCTACAGGGTCACTATGAGTTGGAATCAACTCAAAGGCAACAGGTTTTAAAATGAAATAAGGAAGCACCTTAAGTAGGGACTTTGAGAATTAGAGCAAATTAGAGCAAATTGTGTTAGGGCAAAATACCACTGTGATTAGGAACACGGACTCTGGAGTGAGACAGACATGGGTTCAAGTCCCATCTCTTCTACCTACCAGCTGTGGGGTCTCATTTGAGTTATTTCCCTTTCATGCGCACGTGTAAAATGAAGATAACAAGAGTAGCAAGCTTATAGGGTTGTTGTAATGATTATATAAAATTATGGCTATAAAGGAGAGCTTCAAATCGGTTCGTTTTGGTTCAAACTCCTGCTGAAAATTTGCATTTCTAGCAAGTTCCCAGGCGATGCTAATGCTGCTGGTTAGGGATCAATTCTGAGAACCACTAGTACAGCAGTGGTTCTCAGAATTTTTTATACATAAGAATCACCTGAGGGTCTTGTTAAACTGTAGATTCTAATTCAGTATATCTGGGGTGCAAATGCAAATTCTCAGTAGCGGTTTGAACTGGAACAAACTGGTTCAAAGCACTGATAGAAGCCAACTAAATAAAAAACATTAGCATTAATGAGCTGAAGAGAAAAGCAGGAGTTACTAGCTGTGTTACATTGAGTCTTTTTCTCTAAGCCTTGATTTTCTAACCTATAAAATGGGGATGAGATACCTATATCATAGGGCTACTGTAAAGATTAAATGAGATAGTCTGCAGGCAAAAATGCCCAGAACAATGCCTGACAACTAGTCGCTCAACAACTTTTGACAGTTATAACAATTAGTTAATATTCCACCATGAAAATATTCAAATAAGTGGATCAACCCACAGGCGCCGCATAAAATAACCTCAAATGAGACCAGCTTGTTTTCACACAGTTCTCAAAATTCTCAAGTACTGAGTTTTCTTCATTTCCCCTCCAAATTTAGTTATCACATTTTCTTTCCTAAATTGTTTGTAAAACGCAATGCCAAGCCTTCTACTACAAGGAGGTTACTCAATAATAGACTAGAACCAATGGAAGGGCTTCTCAGAATCAACTCGACAGCAACAGGATATTTTTGGAACAGGCACTTTTCTTCTAATCTTACTTAATTTAATTAATTTTATTGAAGCCTCTGCTAGGCATTTGTTGGTACAATTCACTTAATCGGGCTGCTCAGAACCCCCTTTAGGGTAATCATTACTAAAGCTAAAAGAAGCCTTTTTGACTGCTCTATCTACAAAATTTAGCTTCAGTTCAACTCTATAAAAGTAAGAAAAATATCTGTTGGCTCTTTTAAAACCATTTAAATCCATACAGGCTCGAAAATTCAGCTCTATCATTTCACTCCTTCTCCCCTATTCCCATATTCAATTATCAGATCTTTTCACTTCTAATTCCACAGTATTTCTTGAATCCATCCCCTTTTCCCCATCCCAGCTTCCACAGCTTCAATCAAGCCTTTATTAAAACTTCCAACAACATTGTAAAAGTTTCTTAATCTGCTCTATCTTGGCATCATAGCAAGGCAAAAAATCTCACTAGCTCGCAGCTCTAAAACAGGAACAAAAAAGTCAAAGCCAAAAACAACAACAAAAGTCAAAGCCAGGAAGGGAGAATGAAGAGAACAGGATACAAGGAAAAGATTAGTCCGGAGGACTAATTGTCCACAGCTACCAAGGCCTCCACCAGACTGAGTCCAGTACAGCTAGATGGTGCCCGGCTACCACCACTGACTGCTCTGACCAGGATCACAACAGAGGGTTCTGGACAGAGCTGGAGAAGGATGTAGAGCATAATTCTAACTCACAAAAAAAAGACCAGATTTAGTGGCCTAAAGGAGACTGGAGAAACCCCGAGAGTATGGCCCCCAGACACCCTTTTAGTTCAGTGGTAAAGTTACCACTGTTCAGCCTGGGACTGGACAGCCCCGTAAAACCAAATGAGACTTACAAGGTACAGGAGTCCAGTGACAAGGGCCAGAAGGCAGAAGGGGACAAGGAAGCTGGTGATAGGGAACCCAAGGTTGAGTAAGGATATTGTTGATGTGTTGTGAGATTGTTAACCATTGTCATAGGGCAACATGTGTAGTAACTGTTAAATGACAAACTATTTTGTTCTGTAAGCCTTCATCTTAAGTGAGAATAACAGCACAATTCGAAAAGCGTAGTCAATGTCACTGAACTGTGTATGTAAAAATTTTTGAAATGGTGTATCTTTGGCTATGTGTATTTTCACCAAAAAAAAAAAGGGTTGAGAAGTTAGAGGGTTGATATGTTGTAGGGTTATTAACCAATGTCATAAAAC